TTAAGAAGGGTTGGGGAAGGCTTCCTGTAGAAGGTGGGATTTTAGTTGGGACTTAAAGGAAACCAGGAGGTCAGTAGTTGTGGAGAGGAGAGCATTCCAGGGATGGGGGACAGTCAGAAAGAATGCCTGGAGCTGTTTATTATCTAATAACTAGATTCTAGTTTAACTTTCCTCACCTTTTCAATGGGAAGGCTATGGTCCAGGGTGACTTGGCCAAGTTTTGAACTCAGGTCTTTAGACTTCAAATTCATTGATGTTTCCTTGCCATCCCACTGTTACCTTATTGGGAGATCTCCCCCCTCCAATTCTCATGAGTTTAGGGAAAAGTAGATAATCTCACTCTGTGTGTCTTGTTGTCTTTCTCTCCACTCCTCTGCCTCATTCCTCTAGTGGGTAGGAGTCTTTTCCTCTGCGCAGGTGACTCACACCTGCACCCCATTTATGGACACATTGACTCCCTTCCCTCCTGCTGAGGCAGTGCTTCTCTTCCTAGGCCATCTGATCCCTTCTCCCCCCCCCCCCCATGGAAGAGGCTTCTGACCTCTTAGGCGCTGGAGTTGGTCTTCCCACTTATACAGCTAGGCTCAGAACTTGACCCATGGTGGTTGGGCTAGAGCTCCTCATCGCCTCATTGCTCACCCTAAGTGTTAGGGTTGGGGTGGGTGGACCCTGGGAGCCCGAAGGGAGGGGATGGGCTCCTGGAGAGGGCAAAGAAGGGAAGAGGAGGGGAGACAGAAAAGATCTGACTCATCTGCTCTTGAATCAACTTGCCTGATGACCGGGTGGAGGTGAGGAGGAGGAGGAGGGTAGAGCTTGGGAAGAGGGGGCTGGGGCTTTGTCTGGAAGAGGACTCAGGAAGGCTTTGGAGAGCACACAGCTTCTCAGCTTCTCTGTGTATTTTTATTCTTTTGGTTGGCTGGGTACAGGGTGAGGGGAAGAATTTCCCATTAGTTAGGTAGCCCTATAGCTCAGTTTTCTCATCTCTAGTCTTGGAGATCCTAGTCACTGGGGCACTGAATGGCGTTCTTACTCAGAGGGTGTGGTGGTTAGCCCAGGTACTAGTGTAGGGAAATGAATGTGCCCAGTGGAGATGGCATGAATTCTAGCTGTTAATCTTATGTCCTCTTCAACCCCTTTCCCTATTTTTGAGGCCTGAGGAAGGGAGTAGCAGTGAAGAGAATCTGTGTGTGGGGGGATCCTTTTGTGACACTATAGGGGGAACAGAATAAAGTAGACACAGGGTGCTATTTCTTGAAGACACCCTCAAGGAGGGCAGTGTGGTGCTGGGTTAGGAGTCCAGAGACCTGGTTTCCTGGGAAGGTTTTGCGTCTGACTTGAGGTATGGTAGTAGCAAGCCATTCTAATCTGGGCTACAGTTTCCTCTTCTCAAAATAAGGGGACTGGCGTGCTCGAGGGTTCTCGTAGAACGTGAGGGCTGAAAGTGATACCGTAGATTTGGTGTCTGTGATCTGGATGATGGACAGTTTCAGATGAACTGCTGCTCTCACCTTTGAACCTGGCATGGCACCTGGCACACAGTAGTAGCTACTTAATAAACAAATACTGTTTGATTTTTTGAAGCTAGGATCATCTCTTCAAGCCTCAAGGCACCTGATTCTGCACTCTAGAAAGAGACTGCCCCGTTTTGGGGGGTGTCTGTCTTGGGGGGGACGGACACTACATTTATGTGCTTTTTCCAAATGGGAGAAAGTAGTGGTGACCTATGGTTTGGACCCAGCCAATTGGATCTTCCTCTGCTGCCTCCCATTAACCTGCTTGAAGGCCATTGAGTATGTCTAAGTGGTCTCCTTTTTCCCGGGGCCTCAGAGTATCAGGGGAGAGAACCAGGGGCCTGAGGAATGACATATAGGATGTGAGAGGAAGCATCTGGACTTGTGTGTCTGTCTGTTACCACATTTTTGTGACTGTGTGTATCTTCATAGGCTTGGGTTGAAGTTCCCATCTGTGTCCCCTCTATTTCTCTATATGGATTCATATCTATCCCTGAAACATTGACTCTTCTGTTGGTGGCCTTTTATCCCCATAGATGAGTTTCCCTAGTCATTTGTGTTGGTGGAGCTCTGTCTGTCTCTGGACTGGCTTTGTTTCTGTTCCCATGTGTGCCTCTGTGTTTGTCTGGATCTGGTGGTAGTCTCTTGACACCATGTGTGGATCTGTCTCTGGAGTATCTCTCTGTCTCTGTCTCTGTCTCTCTCTTTCTGTGTCTCTCAGTGTCAGTATGTGTCTCTGGGTCTGTGTGTGTATGCACACGTGCCTGCGGCCTGAGAAATTATACTGCAGTCATGCCAGTCTCTCTACAGCAGTAGCTCAGCTTTCGGTTCTAGCCCTGCTGGATGAGGGGGGGTTAAGGGGGCGGGGGGAGGGGAGGGGAGGGGAGGGGAGGCTCCTGCATTCTTGCGGTTGGGGAGGAATCTGAGCCAACATTACTGGTCTCCAGAGGAGCCCAGCTGCAGCCCCGGGGCCCCGCCAGGCCAAGACTCTCTCTGCCGGCACAGGCCTGCCAGGGATGGGCTAGAACTGGGACCAGGCCTTGGGCTTGGGGTGGGGTGGGGTGGGATTATTTGCCCTCAGCCCCATCACTGAAGGGCATATAGCAGGGTTCAGCAGAGCAAGCCCTTGATAGCAGGAAATATGATGGATCATTGGATCACAGATTTAGAGCTGAAAGAGACAGTCTAGGCCAACCTCATTTTACAGACAGGAAACTGGCCTGGCCGGGCTAAGTCATTTATCTAAGGTCATATAGCAATATTCAAACTCAGGTCCACGGACTACAAACCCCGTGCTCTTTCCATTCAACCTGTTGCCTTCATTGCCTGTGGTGTTAACTTCTTAAGGGAATTTTTTTTTTTTTTGAGACTATAAACTCCCTGAAGACAGGGGCTTTTACTCCATGGGGATTGGTGGCATATAGTCAGGGCTGACGGGCTGCTGAGGCTTTTAATTGTAAATAATGAGGAATATGGCCCTAATTAAGACCACCACCAACCCCTTCTTCCAATTTTCCTGCCCTTTAGTTCCTCTCCACCTAGTTCCTATAACCCTAGGGGCTTCTGGTTGTTGGAGTCACCCATCAGCCCCCTCTCAAATTTATAGGAGGTTTCCTTTTTGTTAGCTCCATAGATCATCAGGTCTCCAGGCCGCTGGGCATAGGGTACAGACATTTGAAATCTATCAGGTTGTAGGGGCTTATTCAGAGCCTGTGAGGGGGAACCTCAGCTAACAGAAATAATATATGTGTGTGGATACCTTAGAGAGGGACAGACGTATGGCCCAGATTGGGAAAGCGGAAGAGAAGATAGTCTTGAATTACCAAAGGGTTGAAAAATGTTAGCATCTTGGAGATTGGAGGACCCCTGGGTTACCTGCAGGATATGTTGGGGGTGGGAAGACCTTAGAAAGAGGCATCCTCTTTTCTCACCTGCGCTACTTGCATTAACCCAAAGGACTCAAGGAAGAGGGTGATTCTGATCAGATAATGCCCTTGTCTTATGGGCACTTGGTGCTGGCTATCTCCTGTGGAGCCCCCTCCCTACCTCACAATCCTCCTGCTTTGCCCTCTTCTGAAGACCTCCAGCTCTGTAGCATGGGCTGAGAAAAGACTGCCCTCCCCACCCCCCACCCCCCACCCGCCATGTGGCAGACAGTGCTTGTGCGGTCTAGCTAAGGGGCATATTGCTAGCGGGTGGGCACCTGCTTCCTCCCCCTCCCCAGGAGAGGCAGGCAGACAGGGCCAGGCGGTGGCAGCGGCGGCGGCGGCGGCGGCGGCGGCGGCAGAAGCAGTGGCGGCTATTGCCGCCAGCAGCAGCAGCAGCAGGACAGCAGAGCTGAAATAAATCTGAGCTGGTGTGGAATGAGGGGGGATAAATATCCTCTCCCCGTGATGTGATCTTTCCAGTGGCTATTAATAGGTCTCCGGGGAGAGGGATGGGGAGGGGGGGAGGCTGGTGGGGGAGTGGGGCTGGGGCTTAAAGGGCCCACAGCCCTGGCTGCAGGAATCCTTGGCTGATGGCTCCTCGGCTCTTGCTTTGGGAAGCTGGCTGTCCATACCACCACTGCCCCTCCCCTGCCTTCTGGTTGCCTGCCTGTCTGTGGGTCTGCCTGTTTCCCACTGGGGCACTGGGATGGTGGACCTCTGCCCTCTAGGTCATTTCCTCCATTTCCTGAGAGAGACCTCCATAAACAGTGATCCCAGATCTTCTTGTCTCCCTTCATCATTCTCCACCCTTTGGCTGAGAAGGGGATGGGATGGTTGGGGGAAACCACGGGTGAGTTAGGGATCGAGGAGGGAGATGGCAGGTTTGAGGGAGAAAGGGAAATGGTCCAGGAAGAGGGGATGCCAACATAAGGACCTGAGTATGAATTCCCTTTCAAGGGTTGGTTGAGGTGTAGACTATAGTTGGCTGTAGACCTTCTTATCTATGTATGAAGGATTTGTGGGAATGAAGAAGGGGTTGCCATAGAAACCAGCAAGTCCAGGGGGCCAGTGCATTTGAGACTTGAGGTGGGTACTGGCTTGGGGATCTGGTTTCCCTTCACACTTGAAGGTCCTTTGCTGATCTCAACCCAAAGGGGATACCCCTCAGTCTAATGGGTCACTGGAGTAAATCAGGGCTTTTGATTAGCTTGTTCCATCTCAAGACATTTTGTTTTCTTGATGGAAACAAGAAACTATACAATTGAGTTGGCCCGAGGGCTGCTTGGGCTCCGAGGATAAGCCAATTCCCCACAAGATTAACAATCCCTTCTCTCTTTCATCTTCTCTTAGGCACCTCCACCTCAGGACAGGAGCCCCCGGGATCCTGCCACCATCCCTCCGAGGCCCTCCAGCCCCAGCCAAGCCAATGCACCCAGAAAATAAACTGACCAATCATGGCAAGACGGGGAATGGTGGGGCTCAGTCGCAGCACCAGAATGTGAGCCAAGGGCCCACTTGTAACCTGGGCTCCAAGGGCGTGGGGGCAGGGAATCATGGGGCCAAGGCCAATCAGATCTCCCCCAGCAACTCCAGTCTGAAGAACCCCCAGGCATCTGTTCCTCCCTTTGGCTCACTCAAGGGGAAGGTGAAGAGGGAGAGGAGTGTGTCAGTGGACTCAGGGGAGCAGCGGGAAGCTGGGACCCCATCCCTGGACGCCGAGGCCAAAGGTACCTATAGTGTCCTAATCTGGAAGATCTTCTCTGTCCTTTCCTATTGCCCTCAGCCACCAACATCCCATACTATGAGAATCGGGCATTTTCCCTTTTGGCTCTGGTTTGGGGGCTAGGGGTGGAAGTAGGCAGGGGCTAGGAACTGGGTTTCGTGGTATTATGGATAGTTATCTCCATCTAGGCAGTACCAGTCACCAAAGAGGCACATTGTGGGTGATGGAATCTCAGATAAAGGGGTCTCTAGTCCTGTCTCTTCCTTCTCACCCCACCCTGTAGAGAAGATAGGGGAAGTGTATTTAGGTGGGAAGTGGGGTTAGGAGAGAATACCTGTAGGATAAAGTGTAAAATCCAGGTAGGTCCTGGCTCCCAGGCTTTCCAGTGTCCTGAACTGGTGGGAGCCATTTGGGAAGGCACAGGGGCCTGGATGAGTAGCTGTTCCCCCCTCCCCCTTCTCCCCCCCCCAGTCCTAATTGGAAACAGTTGTGGTCAGGATTATTCTATGCTTGGTATTGGGTGGGGGGGAGGGGCTCTGGGCGGCTTTAGCTTTGGAGCAAAATCAGAAACAAATGGTAGTATGTTGGGGGCCAGTGGCATGGGAGCGGAGTGGGAGACTGGCATGGTTCCCACAACAGTCTGGGCAGTGCCAACAAACTTGAGGAGAGAAGAAGCGAACACAGATTGGGAGCTAACTGGGTGAATGCCTAGGACTTTAGAAACAAACACTAACATCTCTCCCTTCCTTCCACACACCGCTGCTGCCTTCTGCCTTCCCGGGACAGAGGTGGCACCAAGGAGTAAACGTCGCTGTGTGCTGGAGAGGAAGCAGCCATACAGTGGGGACGAATGGTGTTCAGGGCCCGACAGCGATGATGACGACAAACCCATTGGGGCCACCCATAGTGAGTTCCCATTTGGGCAAGGTTGGAAACCTTCGGATAGATAAAGGAAAGGTTCCTTAGCCTTTGCCCTGTGTGTGGGGGGAGGAAGGGTGTTTTGGGGAAAAGAGACCCCCAATCTCCTCCCACAAGGGATGAGACTTCATCTTTAGCCAAGGTATCAATTAGAAATAGAGACCAGGACCCTATAAAGGAACCCCAATCCAACCATGTGGAGTCTTGGAGCTGGGGAAAGTAGGTGATAGGGCAGTTGTACCTAGAATGCTTTAGTGTCAGACCCAGGGATCCCCAGAATCAACCTTCTCTTTCTACATTCTCCCATTCTGGCTTTCGAGGTACCCCCCTACCCCCACCTCTCCCATTGAAGAGCCTGTCTTATCTCTGACCAAGGTGGCCCAGAGGAACTGCATGCCAGGTCCCTCTCCTACTGCTGGTCATCATCCTACCCTTCCCTGGTACTCAGTTTCCCTCTTTCTAAAGGGAAATGGGGGTGATGAGTCACCCTTATCCCTGGAAAGCCCGAGGAGCCACCTTGAATCCTTGGCCTGTGCTGCCACCTGCTGGTTTGGTCAGGGAGGGCAGTGCTGGCTCACGCTTGAGATAGGACAAGCTGGTTCAGTTGATTAGAGGCTTTGCTGGGTAGCCCTAGTCAGGGGTTCAGACCTGGTCTGGGCTATTTTGTTCCACTGTGTTCCTGGGCACCATTACTTTCTTCTAACCGCCTCAGAAATGGGTCACACAAATCACAAGCTCACGTGCTTGGAGCTCATGTGACCAGACCAGTACAAAATTATTTTTCTCTGTTACTAGATAGTGCCTATTGTATATAATCGGCATTTAGTAAATGCCTGATGATTTATTGGTTGATTGATCATTCATTTAGTCTGTATTGAATGCATGGATAAGACAGATTCCTTCAGGTCAAGGAGCTTACAGAGTAGTTGGGGAGAAAAGATTTTCACATATAAAGATGACTAGTATTGGCTCCGTACTAGACAGTAAGCTCTGTGATGTCTGTCCATGATCAGGTTTTATCCAAACTTGGAGTCTCTGGCAGCATCCAGCAGAGCAGGCATTTTAACATATTTTTGCCAAACCAATGATCTAGAAAACTAGACTACCTCTATGTGTGTTGTATGGTGTCAAACACAAATAGAAACATCTTTTTTTTTTTTCTTCCCTTTTTTTGGTGAGGTGATCAGAGTTACGTGACTTGCCCAGGGTCACACAGCTAGTAAATGTTAAGTGTCTGAGGCTGTATTTGAACTCAGGTCCTCCTGACTCCAAGGCCAGAGCTCTATTCACTGTGCCACCTAGCTGACCCTCAAATAGAAACATCTTAAGGGGCATCTTAAGATCGCCTCACCAAAAATAAAACCATCTTAAAAAGCCACAAATTAATATTATTGATGTTTTATTGTGTTTATTTTGTTAAACATTTCCTAATTACATTTGAATCTTGTTCTGGCTACACTAGGGCCCAAGTTTGACACCCTTGTGGTACAGGGTTAGGCTGCAGTGCAGTATCTGGAATGGCTAGCAGGGAGGAGGGGGAGAATCCCATCCATCCCAGGTTATGCACAAAGAACACACTTATATGAAGCCTTCCATAATTCCCCTTTCACCTCAGCCAACAGTAATCTTCCTCTCTCACACTCTTTGGATATTCCTAGGTACTTGTTTCACTCCTGGGCACCTACTGTGTTCTCATTTGGATCATAGTCATTTTCTGTCTCTCTCTTGTCTACTAGATTTCAAATTTTTCCTTTTTTTTTGGTAAGTTGGGTAATGGGGGTTAAGTGACTTGCCCAGGGTCACACAGCTAGTAAGTGTCATGTATCTGAGGCCAGATTTGAACTCAGGTCCTCCTGACTCTAGGGCCGGTGCTCTATCCACTGTGCCACCTAGCTGCCCCCGTAGATTTCAAATTTCTGAAGTGCAGGTGCCATGTTTTTATTTATTTCTGAACCTCCTCCAGTATTTAGCTTAGCACTTTGCATGTCATACATTCAGGAAATGTTTGTTGATTTATATACTGTTATTGTGCACCACTGTTAGGAGGTGATAGACTTTGAATAGTTTTTCTGCTATTACTCTCATGTTCACCCCCCACCACAACCCTCGTGATCAGCTTATTTGTGAAGTGACTAAATGAAATTAAGAGTTATGGAGCAGAAATTTTCTCTTTGCTGTTCTATATTGAAGTAGAAACTGTGATCCTGACTACATTAGCATTGTTTGAACACAGATCTCCCTCCGATTTTTTCAGTCTGTGTCATGGCTATGAAAGTTTAATAATACCTTACATCCTGCAGAGCTACTAAGTTTTTTCATCCTTACTGTATTCCTAGAAGGCATAGAGTAGGTATTATTTTCCCTGTTGTATCAAAGAGAAAAACCAAGGTATATAGAGTTCAAATGACTTCCTCAAGATCACATAGCAAACCACAGAGAGGTACTGGACCTAGAACTTCATTTTCCTGAGTTCTAGACCAAGGCTCTGCCTACTCTCCCTCACCCTCCTCTCCCTTCCCCTCTTCTCACTCAGTGATTTACTAGTCCAGCCATCTGTGACTTGATTGATTAAAGTTCAGTATATATACATAAATACACACATGCTGAAGCCACCATCCCTTTTCTTTCTACCATGGTTACCACTTATTGAAAGTTGACCAAGAGAAGGCAAATGAAATAGCGAACAACATTATAAACACGTAGGGCATTTGTGGCCAGATTGTCACTATGAACCTGTTAGGGAAAGGTATCTTAACCACTTGTGATAGGTCTAGCCTGGTTTTGATTAGTAAGCAGTGATCCTCCCCCAGCTCCAGAGTCTCCCTTAGTACCCATTATCCCCCTTCAGTGAATCTGGGCTAGGACAGAGGTCATTAGCTTGCTCACCTCTTTCTCTCCTCCTCCTCCTCTCCCGTTGCAGATTGTAATGTAGCAGACCCAGCCATGGCCACCACACAGCTAGGCCCAGGCCCAGCCCCACCACCACCTCTCAATGAGAGCAGTGCCCCCGGACCTCCCCACGGTCCTGCAGCTGGCCTTCGGCCAGAGGGCCCTGGTGGTCTGGGAGGCCCAGGAAAGCCAACTGCTCAGTTTGTCTATGTCTTCACCACCCACCTTGCAAACACGTAAGTGCTGCTGGGGGAGAATGCTTCTGTTCTGTCCAGCCCCTACTCTGGGAGCATATACATCCAGATGCCTTAGCAAATTGCTTCGGGGACCCGGGGTTAGTATGGACAACACAGGGAGGTCAGCTTGGGGAGGGCAGGGTGTTTTCCTTCTATGTACAGTTAGCCCCTTGTCACCCTTCTCTTTTGCCATTTCTCCTCCCCCCTCCCCCACTGCGTGACAATCCAGGGCAGCTGAGGCAGTGTTGCAAGGCCGAGTTGACTCCATTCTGGCCTACCACCAGCAAAATGTACCCCGTGCCAAGCTCGACCAGGTGAGGATTTTTAAGGCCTAGAAATGGGCCCGGTCCCGAACTTTTCCTAGGAGGTGGGCATGAGGATACAGGACTGGGGGAAAGCCTAGTACTGTCTGAGAGGTGGGTTCCTTTGCCTATTGCCTTCTACCTCATACTTTGCTCTTGCCGTCCCATAGGCTCCAAAGGTGCCACCTACGTCGGAACCACTTCCCTTGAGCACAGCCTCAGCAGGCACCCCACAGTCCCAGCCACCCCCCTTACCACCGCCTCCACCACCCTCTGGCAGTGCCCCCCCAGCTCTGCCTGCATCCCTGCCTCCAGAGGGGCCGCCTGAGGATACACACAGGGATCTAACACCCAATTCTGTGGGTGCCACCAGTAGCAACGCAACAGGGGGAACCCACCCCAACACCCCTACAGCTGCCACTGCCACAAACCCCCTGGCCCCAGGAGGTGACCCTGGGGGTGCCCCTGGAGGTCCCACCTTGCTAGGGGAGGGCACTCCCACAGGCAATGGGCAGCGAGCCCTGACTGGCTCTGAGGGCTTGTCAAAGGAGCAGCTGGAACATCGGGAGCGCTCTTTACAGACGCTACGTGACATCGAGCGGCTGTTGCTTCGAAGTGGGGAGACTGAACCCTTCCTCAAGGGCCCGCCGGGGGCCACAGGGGAGGGGGGGCCACCAGCGCCAGCTCCCCCAGCGCCCCAGCAACCCCCAGCACCCCCGCCCGCAGGACTGAAGAAGTATGAGGAGCCCCTGCAGTCTATGATTTCCCAGACACAGAGCCTTGGAGGCCCTGGGCTGGAGCACGACGGTCCGGGTCACCACCCGGGCAGCGACATGGGGCAGCAGATGAACATCATGATGCAGCGGCTGAGCCAGGACAGTCTGACGCCTGAGCAGGTGGCCTGGCGCAAGCTGCAGGAAGAGTATTACGAGGAGAAGCGACGGAAAGAGGAGCAGATTGGCCTCCATGGGGGACGGCCCCTGCAGGAGATGATGCTGTCCCAGGGCATGGGGGGCATGATGGTCCGGGGCCCTCCACCTCCTTACCATAGTAAACCTGGGGACCAGTGGCCTCCAGGCATGGGGGCCCAGCTTCGGGGACCCATGGACGTCCAGGACCCAATGCAGCTCCGAGGAGGGCACCCATTTCCTGGACCTCGTTTCCCTGGCAACCAGATGCAGCGGGTATCCGGGTTTGGAGGTATGCAAAGCATGCCTATGGATGTGCCGATGAATGCCATGCAGAGGCCCGTGAGGCCGGGCATGGGCTGGACAGAAGACTTGCCCCCGATGGCGGGGCCGGGCAACTTTGTGCAGGGTGCAGTGCCCTATCCCAGTGGGCAGAGTGAGGCAGAGAGATTCATGACCCCAAGGGCACGTGAGGAGCTGCTGCGGCACCAGTTACTAGAGAAGCGGACGATGGGTATGCAGCGCCCGCTGGGGATGGCGGGCAACTCCATGGGACAGGGCATGGAGATGGAACGTATGATTCAGGCCCACCGACAGATGGAACCAACCATGTTCCCTGGGCAGATGACCAGCGGGGAGGGTCTGGCAGGTGCCCCCATGAGCATGGAATTTGGGGGCAGTAGGGGTCTCCTGAGCCCACCAATGGGGCAGTCTGGCCTAAGGGATGTGGATGCCCCCATGGGGCCTGGCAACTTGAACATGAACATGAATGTCAACATGAACATGAACATGAATCTCAACGTGCAGATGACCCCTCAGCAGCAGATGCTGATGTCCCAGAAGATGCGGGGCCCTGCAGACATGATGGGCCCTCAAGGCTTGGCTTCTGAGGAGCTGGCCCGGGTCCGGGCCCAGAACGGTAGTGGCATGATGGGGGCACCCCAAAAGATGCTTATGCCCTCCCAGTTCCCCGGCCAGGGCCAACAAGGCTTCTCTGGGGGGCAAGGACCCTACCCTGCCCTGCCTCAGGACATGGGTAGTGCCCCAGACATGTTCAGCCCCGATCAGGGCTCAATGCCTGTGGGCAACCTGGGTACCACGAGGCTCAGTCACATGCCCCTTCCCCCAGCACCTAACCCTCCCCCTCCTGCACCCATGCACCCAGCCCCAGCTAGAGGGCTGGGCCGACGGCCCTCAGACCTTACCATCAGTATTAACCAAATGGGCTCACCGGGCATGGGTCACCTGAAGTCACCTACACTTAGTCAGGTGCACTCGCCCTTGGTCACTTCGCCTTCTGCCAACCTCAAGTCGCCCCAGACACCCTCTCAGATGGTGCCTCTGCCTTCCGCGAACCCCCCAGGACCCCTCAAATCTCCCCAGGTCCTCAGCTCTTCCCTCAGCGTCCGTTCACCTACTGGCTCACCCAGCCGGCTCAAGTCTCCCTCCATGGCGGTGCCCTCCCCAGGCTGGGTGCCCTCGCCTAAGACAGCCATGCCAAGCCCGGGAGTCAGCCAGAACAAGCAGCCGCCTCTCAACTTGAACTCTTCCAATACTATGAGCAACATGGAGCAAGGTGAGTGGTCATCAGGGCTCAGATGGAGGGAGGTATTGCTTGTTACTCACATGGGTCTGGAGACTCATCTGAGATGGCTATCCCAGAAGCACTGGACAGGAAGAGATTCCAAAGGGAGTCTAGATTTGCTTCAGTCAGAAATGCATAGGATCATAGGACCTAGAGCTGGAAGGACTCTCAGTAAATAGTCATTACACCCATGAGGAAATTGAGGCACAGAGAATTTAAAAGGTTTGTTCAAAGTCACACATAGGTAGCAAATGGCATAACCAAGATTCAAGTCCTGACTCCGAATCCAGTGGCCTTTCTACTACCTTGTGAATTTCCCAGTGGCTGTAGGTAGGAAAGATGTGCACCTTAATCTCCCGATTGTTGAAGGGAGGCGTTATTACCTAGCCCTTTCAGGACTTCTAGATTACACCTTGGGATCTGTCTTAGAAAAGCAGATGGGTGTAAGGTTGTTGGGTGTGTGAAGATGTCAAGTCAGTGGGTATAGTAGCAGTGGTCAGGTTGGTACTATGGGAGGAGGGGAAGTGATCCCTGCCCCGTCTCTGGGATGCCTTCCAGAGGTATCACCTCTTTCTCTCCTCTCTCCTGTAGGTGCCCTCCCTCCCAGCGGCCCTCGGAGTAGCTCCTCTGCCCCACCTGCCAATCCCCCTGGAGGCATCATGAACCCCAGCCTGCCTTTTACTTCCTCCCCAGATCCCGCCCCCTCCCAGAACCCTCTGTCGCTGATGATGTCTCAGATGTCCAAATATGCCATGCCCAGTTCCACCCCCCTATACCACAATGCCATCAAGACCATTGCCACCTCGGATGACGAGCTCCTGCCTGATAGGCCTATGCTTCCACCAGGGACCATGCCAGGTGGGAAACCAACATTCCTGGAGACTTGGCCTTTTGGCTCTGGCCCCCTGAGGCAGAATAGGAGGGAAGGAATTTTGGCTGCCCACAACCATAGATGGAGTTAATGGATCAGGAGACACAATACCTCCTACCCCATGGGGCACAGATGAGCTATGAATTATGGCGATGCTGGCAAGAACTATGGCAGTAACAGCAATGACCATTAATAATCCTTAAAATTCACATAGGGCTTTTTTCCCCAAGGGCACAGATAGATATAGATGTATATATCTATTTATCTGTGTGTATGTATGATTACATATGTGCACATATATATAAAATCGTTGTTGATGAGTGATTTCAGTCACGTTCAACTCTTCATGACCCCATTTGGGGTTTTCTTAGCAAAGATACTGGAATGGTTTGCCATTTCCTCCTCCAGCTCATTTTACAGATGAGGAAACTGAGGCAACCAGTTAAGTGACTTGCCCAAGGTCACACAGCTAGTAAGTGGCTGAGGCTGGATTTGAACTCAGGTCCTCCTGACTCCAGGGCCAGCACTCTATCCACTGTGGCACCTAGCTGCCCAAAATATAAAATGAAGTAACGCATTATATATACTTATGTATGCATATTGCATTTGAACCTTTTAAGAGCTCCAAGAACCAGGGAGGGACAGGGCTGTTTCTTTTCACTATTATGGACAGCATACTTGAGGTCCAAAGAGGCTACCTAGATGCTTACTTGCTGCTGTCCCAGGGGTGCTTATGTGGGGAGAATAAGAATCAGAACCCTAAAAGGCAACCACATTGGGAGATGGTCAGATTGAAGCCAAGGAAGGAAATGGCAGATGAAGGCTGGAAAGGTCGGCTGCTTCCCTCTCCTAACACCCAAGGCGTGTTTGACCCCTTTGTCCTTTCCTTTCAGGGATCAACACCAACCAGCCCAACCAGTTGCACCTGAATTCGGCAGCTGCCCAGAGCCCCATGGGCATGAACCTGCCTGGCCAACAGCCCCTGTCTCATGAGCCCCCGCCTGCCATGCTGCCCTCACCCAACCCAATGGGCTCCAACATTCCGCTGCACCCTAATGCACAGGGGCCTGGTGGCCCCCCCCCGAACTCCATGATGATGCCCCCTGGTGCCCCAGATTCCCTGAACCCTCCTTGCGGCCCCATGCCCAACGCATCCCAAATGATGTCCTCTAACCAGCTGGTGTTCCCCCCTCGGCTTCAGCAGCCCCATGGCGCCATGCCCCCTGGGGGAGGTGGGGGTGGGGGTCCCGGCATGCAGCAGCATTATCCACCCGGGATGCCCCTGCCCCCCGAGGACCTGCCTAGTCAGCCATCAGGTCCCATGCCACCCCAGCAGCATCTAATGGGAAAGGGGCTGGCAGGGCGAATGGGTGAGCCATACCCTCCAGGAGTACTGCCAGGTGTGGCATCTGTGCTGAATGACCCTGAGCTGAGTGAGGTGATCCGACCCACCCCAACAGGCATTCCTGAATTCGACCTGTCCCGGATTATCCCCTCGGAGAAACCCAGCAGCACCCTTCAATACTTCCCCAAAAGTGAGAACCAGCCTCCCAAAACTCAGCCTCCCAACCTCCACCTCATGAACCTTCAGAACATGATGGCTGAACAGACCCCTTCCCGGCCCCCCAACATCCCAGGTCAGCAGGGTGTCCAGAGGGGTCTCAACATGTCCATGTGCCATCCCGGACAGATGCCCTTATTGGGCAGGACAGGTGTGCCCCCACAACAAGGCATGATGCCCCATGGCCTCCATCAGGGGGTCATGTCTCCCCCTCAAGGCCTCATGGCCCAGCAGAATTTCATGCTGATGAAACAGAGGGGTGTAGGGGGGGAGGTATACAGTCAACCCCCCCATATGCTGTCCCCCCAAGGCTCCCTAATGGGCCCCCCACCGCAGCAGAACCTTATGGTGTCCCACCCCCTGCGGCAACGCAGTGTGTCTCTGGACAGCCAGATGGGCTACCTCCCTGGCCCTGGCAACATGGCCAACCTGCCCTTCTAGCCAGCTTGGGTCAGGGAGGTGGGGCATGTGGGTTCAGTAGGTGGGGAGGCTCTGGGCTGAAAAAATTTTGCAAACTTTTAAAAAACTCATCCCCTACAACTTTTGAATGGCCTAGTGTCATGGGGTGGGGGGGGTGGGGGGGCCTTGTGTGTTGGAGTGGCATCTGTGGAAACCAGATAATGCTGTTGGCTTGGGGTGGGAGGGGGGATGGTTCGTTTTGGTTTGGGTTTTTACTCGGTTTCAGCCCCCAGGACTCCTTGTCTTCCTCCCCTCCTCTCCCTGTTCCAGTGTCTTGGGAGTTTATTGGTCTCACTCGCCTGCCCCCTTGTTGGTTACTCAGCATCAGTGAATTAACTTGTGTTTGTGGGTCCCAGACTGTACTGGGAGGAGGGTGAGAGCTGACACTGTGTCTTCTTCCTTTTCCGCTTTGGTCTCTCTGTCTTTCTGACTTGCTGCCTCTAGGTCTCTGTCTTTCTCAAGTCTCTTGGTTTTCCTCTCTTGCTGCTGCCCTGCTCACCTTTTCCTCCTGTCTTCCTATCCCACCACTGCCTCAGATTCCCCAGTGGTGTAGCTGATGCCTCTATTTTCTCCCTCCACCCCTTCGCTTCCCCCGTGCAGACAGGTGGGTGGATGTCATTGGCCATCATCGCTGTAAATAAGGCCTGCGCTTTGTGCCGGTGTGTGCGTGTGCTGTATTTCTGTATTTTAATAGACGACTCGGGAAAAAAAGGAAAAAAGAAATCCCCCCTTCTCTAACCTGTGTTCTCCCTCCCAACCCCCCTCCCCAACCCTCACCCTCCAAGAAAACCCAACCCTCTGACATCTCTCACAGGGACATGCAAACACCCACACTCACCATTTGCAGAAAGGTCTCTAGTGCAAGGTCACACCCCTCAAGAGCATAGTAGCCCCATAACCACCTCCTTTTCAAATGTGCTTCAGGGTTTCCAGGCAGGCTTCCATCCTGGGGCTACCCAGAAGGCTGGATTAGGATTCTGGGAGTCCTGAAACCTGACTGTACTGCCGAGACATTCAGGGGCCACATGTATTGAACGTGTGTCTTCCTTGTGTCTCCCTTGATACCCAGTGTCAGGCCCTTGCTTTCCCCAAGTTGCACATCTGGGATGTCTGCCCCTGCTACCTCTCCTCCTACTACATCTTAACCCCAACTTAAAAGCTTCTCCAGAATGGAGATGCCAGAGTAGGGACCTTGGTCGGGGGCTTCCCATTCAGTCCCTCCTAAGTTCTATTTAGGATCATGGAAGATTTTTCTCTCCCCATCCTGATGGCTTTGGGATCCTTGAGTTCCATCCCCTCCCCCCAATTATGGAACAGGTTGTCATAGTGCCAGCAATAACTGCCCCTGCTGGCGCTGACCTTGTTACTTAAGACCATGGGACTGTGCCACACACCAGTGTCCTCCTGAAGCCACCACCTACTTCCTCTTACTAAAGGGGGAAGGAAAAGAGGGGAAGTCTCTGAGTCAGTACCCCACCCCCACCATGGGGACCGTCTGAGGAGGAAAAGCCTCATGCGTCCCTTCCGGGCATTGAGTTAATTGGCCATTGGCCTTCCTGTACCCCGACCCTCCTCAAATCCCCTCTTCTCCCTTCTCTACCCCCAAAGAGCCTCCTGTCCCTTTTCTTCTAAGTGATCTCTCCCTATCCTTCCAAGCAGGGTAAAGCTCTTGGGAGGTTGGGGGGACAGGCACAGTGAATCAAAAGCCATAGACCAGTTGTGTGTTTGGTCTCCCATTTGCCCTAAAAAAGGAATCTCTTTTTTTCCCCCCTTTCCTGTCTTCAGGGAAGGCCTTTTGTGCTGAGGGCCAATTCCAGAAGGAGAGGTGTCTTTTTCCCTTGGGATACATGGCCCTCTCTCTGCCAGCTTTCCTGTCCCACTAGGGATAGGGCCCCAGGTCAGTAGCCATGATACAAAGGGATATGGCCTCTTTCACCCCACCCCCCTCCCTGGCATTTGGTGCTGTCCACCTGGCCCATTGTCAGCCTAATCAAGTTCTTTCTCCCCATCCTTCCCCCAGAACAGCTCCCAGGGGTTCCAGGACAGAGCTCTCTTGTTTCTGAACACCACCTTCATTCACATCAGACTCTTCCTCATCCTCTGACTCCCACCAGGCACTTTGCCCATCCTGGGTCTTGCTCAACTTGAGTCATCACCCCGTCTTCTTTCTCACCCCAGGATTACCAACATCTTGTCTCTTCCCAGGCCCTGGGATTCTTAGTGTTTCCTGAACCCAAGGGGAGTGGAGCCACACCTGACCCCTTCCCCACTGCCCACAACAGGCCTTTTTCCACCTCTTCACACCTTCCACTATCACTGAAGTTAACCCACCAGCCTCTACTCCCCCCCCCATCCCCAATTCATGGCCATACCCCTGCCCCCAGCCATTTTGTATCATTATATAAATATATATATATATATATATAAATATAAATATATAAATACAATATGTGAAGACATCTTCTTGGTTTTTATTTTGAAACAATTTTTAGGCTTGTTTCGGGGGTCTCTGTGCTGCCTGTACTGTATTGACCTGTTTTATAGGTGCCTTTTTATTAAAAAGAAAAACTTCAAAAATCAACCTCTTGCCTTGTGCCTTTGTGTCTGATGGGTCTGTTCTCTGTTCCACTGTTTGGGCTAGGAAGGATGGCTTGAGACCTCGTGTTCTGTCAGGTAAGAAGCACTGGCTTTTTCTGCCCCCTCAGTCAGGTCCTGAAGGGGTAGCTTTTTATTGTGTTTTGGTTGTTATGAGGTAGAGGGTGTTGTTCTGGGGTTGTCCAGCAGATCTGAGCTTGCCAGCCCCCATCTCCTAGGCCGAAGGGGTGTGGGGCCTGGTGTAGGACTGTAGGGTGGCTGGTCAAGCTGGGCCCCTCTAAGCGAGAAGCAGCTTCCTCCGGTTCCATCTGAGCAGGTCCCTCAGAGAAGAGTGGATTGCTGCTTCCTTAGGGGTTTGGGGACTTCCCTCCCAGAGTTCGGTGCTGGGGCCCCATCCTGTCCCTTCCCCCACCTCACTTCCCTTACCAGAGGTGCACTTGGTCCTGGGAGGCTGGTGTGCCCCCATTCTCCATTTGAAGTTTGAATCTCCCTTCTAGCTACCAGTAAGTTTGGGCATGGTCCTTTGAGGAGATGCCAGTCCAGGAACTGTTTCATGGTAGACATATCAATCTATCAATCAATAAACATTTATTACATGCCTGCTATGCACCAGGCACTACATTAAGCACTGGAGATACAAAAGGAGGCAAAAACCAGTCTGCCTTCAAGGAGCTTACAGTTTAATGGGAGGCTCAGAGAATCACCCAGCTGGGTAGGGGTTCCCTGCTCAGGATCCCGAGTTTTCTGCTTGGGAAGGGGATTGGTCAGACGCTGGTCTGATCAGATACCCTCCAGGAGGCCCTTCCAGCAGACTTTCTCTCCTGGTCTTCTTGTCCTCTCTAGAAGAGCCTCTAATTTCCGGGCCCCTACACAGCTGTATTGTTCATCTCTGGTGAGCCGCCTCCCCTTCTCTGAGGTCAGCACAGTCTCCTGAATATACCCCTGTTCCGGGAGGTAAGGAGTTTTCCCAAATTGCAAAGTGGAACAGAATTTGTCCATTGGGTAGACAGCAGCAGGTATTCAAAGTCTTCCTGTTGTGGAAGACCCCTGAAACATCCCTCTCCCCACCCCCAGCACATGTCTAAAGCTAGAATCAATCCCCACCTCCACAGATACAAAGACACCAGTTGCACTTAGGTTATCAGAACTGCTCCCCTCACATGAGGCTTTCCCTCATACCTGGCCTGAGATGTTCCTCGTTTTTCTGACCGGCATTGGGATCCTAACCTTGAGCCTTTATAGAGCACTACCTGGGCCTGAACGGAGCTGAGCTAGGGAGGGTTTGGGGGTGCCTGTGGTCAAGAACAAAGGTCACCTTTAGCCAGGCTTCCAGGTGCCTGAACTGGGTCAGTCTGAGCTTCCTGTTTGCTTGAATAGGGCCCTCAGATGGCAAGGCTGTGGAACGGGCCAAAGTGAGTACAGCTGAAAGAATTAAGCGGGTGGACAGGTGGGGGAGCAAGACAGATGTGGAAGGGTCTCTGCCCACATATCAGGTGGATTCACCTCAACTGGAGCCCTTAACTCAATAGTCTCTAGGCTTCAGTTTGTGATCCAGAGGGACAATAACCCAGGGCCAGCTCCCCCAAAAGACTAAAAATTCTTTTCCTCTTAGGAGGTCAAGTGTGACCAGGGGTATGGGATTCTAAGATGGAGGGAATAAAAGTGATGGTATCATCCTGAGCCTTTCTCTAGACTTCATTGAAGAGTTTGTCCCTGAAGACCTAGGAGGATATATGACACCCTTTCCCTCACGCCAAGCTAAGCAAACCAGGCCTTTTCAAGCTTTGGCCTCTGTTTCTCTGTCCCCACCCCAGGCTCCATCCTTGGTCCCAGGTCTTGGAAGGGCAATGGATAGAGATGTCCATTGAAGAGAAGGGTTTGTCTGGTTTGTCCAATCTCCTGTCCCTGTAAAAATCTTTTTTGGGGGTAGTTGTCCAGAGTGATAATCAGACTCCAAGGCAGATCCTCATTTACAGGGTCCAGGAAGGACTGGGATCCCTTTCCACCCTTGAAAGGGAATAAGGGGTTGGGCCCTAGAAGGTGGAGACAGAGGTGGCATTCTCTGATTCTGAGCTGCTGCCCTTGCGCCAACTGGGGAGGAATCGGTGGAGGGTAGCAGGGCCCACGCAGCCCAGCTTCCCCAGCAGGCGAATTAAGTCACTTCGGAATTTTACACCCACAAAGGTATAAAGCACAGGGTTGAGACAGCAGTGAGCCAGGCCCAGGAACTCACATGTAGTAATAGCTGTTGCCAGGTGGTCATCCAGTTGGCAGGACTTGGGCACGGCACCTAGCATCACGAGTGTGTTCAGGAATATGACCACGTTATAAGGGGACCAGCAGAAAAAAAAAACCCCTGTCACCAGGATGGCTATCTTGACAGCTTTCTGCCGCTGGTATCGCCTCTGGGCCTGGCACAGGCGCCTCACCACTCCAGTGTAGCACCAGGCCATCACCAGCAGAGGGATGAGGAAGCCCCCTATGTGGTACAGGAAGCGTGAGGTGAGCCGTGCATTGCTGCCCACCAGGCCTTGGCCAGAGAAACTGCAGGTAGCAGAACCGTTGGTGCCTGTCACTTTGCTGACTGTCACAAACAGGATCTCAGGCAGTGCAAAGAGAAAGCTAGCCAGCCAAACAGCCCCACAGGTGATGTGGACGGAGAAGAGGCGGCGGTGGCGGTAGGTGTGAACAGCGTGAACAATGGCCAGGTATCGGTCCACGGCAATGCAGGCCAGGAGCAGGCTGCTGCAGTAGAAATTGATTTTATGAAGGGCACTCACAGTCTTACAGAAGAAGGGCCCGAGCACCCAGCCCACAGCTCCCTCAGTCATAGCAAACGGCAGGGTAAGCACAAGGAGGAGGTCAGCCACGGCCAGGTGGAGCAGGAAGGTCTCCGTGGAACTTCGGGTCGTCCGATGGCTCATGAGAATCACGAGCACCAATGCATTGCCCAACATGCCCAGGAGGAAGATGGCACTATAGGCCACCAGCACAAAAACTGCCTTGAAGCTTAGCTGGTCTTCCCAGCTGTGGACCTCAGGGCATAAGTAGTCATCTTCTGGCAGCTCATTGCTGTAGTTGCTATAGTTGCTATAGTTACTGAAATCCAGAGCTGTAAACTGTGAGGGACAAGAGGGATGGGGAGGGAGAAACAGGAGAAAGAGAGGTGAGGACCAGTGCCTTTGCTTCTGAGAACCCCATCACCTTATCAATTCCCTTTGCTCTCCTAATAGCATTATGCGTGCCTGGAAGGAGCAGGGAAGAGCAGAGCCAGAAGTCTTATGGAAAAAAAACTGGGTTCATTCATTTATTTATTTGTTCATTTGTTCATAGGGAGGCAGCATAAAATTGTGAACAGAAGGCTAGCCTTGAGATAGGGAGTGAGGTTCGAGCCCTGCCCCTGACAGATTGTAGCTGTGGGAGCAAGGCAAGCCACTTAACAACTCATTGCCCTCAGGCAAATTGCTAAGGCTGTAAGTTATTGGTGAGGTACTGACCTGTATGAGTGGAGAGAGTTTCCATATCAGGAATTCCCTGTATGGTTGAAATGAGAGTCCTGGACTGCCGCAAACACCCACCTCTCCCTATCAAAGTAAAAAAGCTTAAAGTAATGTGCTGGATGCCAGGGATACAGATGCAAAACAGCACAACTCCTCCCCTCAAGTTGCTTACATTCTCCAGGAGAAAGATATACCTGTACACAAGTAAGTAAATGCAAAGATATAGGGCTTTTGCTTAGTGAGTCTACAGTTGGGGAGGAGGACTTGACCCCTGGACACTTTGCTCCATGACCTTGCATCCTGGTCATTGACCCAGTCTTTCTTGGGGATGGTGTCCCACTTTGCAGCGGAAAGAGGACTCTTCAGCAGCCCCACCCACTTGTTCTATTTCCCACCCTAGATGTCCTCGGGCCTCTTCCCAATCCTGGCTTGTCTCCTTTGCCTCAGTTTCCCTCTCTGGCTCATGGGGATAAAATAGATCTACCCCACCCTGCTTACTGTCGCCATCAATACTCCCTCCCATCCCAACCTCCATCTTTAATGTAGCCAAACGACTTCAGAAAACAGGGAGGAGAAAGACGAGGAAGAGAGAGGAGGACGAGTGGATACAGGCAGAGAAGTGAGTGGAGAGGCAGTGTCAGCTGTGGTTTCAGACCTCCTCTTTTCCCCTTCCCCCACCCCTTTACTCAGGCTGTTTACGGAGCTAACCACAGAGGAAGGCCCTGATCGGTGTTTTCATACCTTTCACTCACAGCTGCCTCAGCTGCACCTGTTCCTCACAGCCCCCTTCTTACCTCTCCCTCCCCAACCCTGCCTTGCAATTGATAACTAATTATAACCCAACTGTGTTAGCAAAAAGGGTAATTCTGTAAATGACAAAGTCTCTAGGGAGCAACAGGTAGGATGTGTTGTACCCTTGTTCTCACTGCTCATAAGGACGCGTCTCAAAAGCTCATCTGCCCACAATGAGAGTATTGCTCTTACCTGATCCTGTGGAGGGAAAACAGCTGTTTGGCTCAAACACCCACTGCCAGGCCTTTCCTGGCTCTTCCAAAGGCTAGTGCCTGCCCTTCTAAGATTACCTTGTAGTTACTTTGTATGTAACTTGCGTAGACATATATGTACGTGTTGTCTTCCAAATTAGAATGTAAGTTCCATGAGGGCAGGAATTGTTTTCAGTTGTTCTTTGTGTCTCCTGCATTTAGTAAAGAGCCTGGCACCTATGTAGTAAGTGCTTAATAAATGCTTGTTGGTTGATTGATTAACTACCATCTTCTATTGCTTACCAGTTATCTCAGTGCGCAAGTGCCCTTTGTCTCTGAACTCTGACATCCGAACATAATCTCACCTTGTTAAACGGGAACTCTCCCCCATGGTCTAGAATGGGATGGATGTGCGGAGGGGAATGGGAGAGATGGGAAGATAGTATAGCATGAAATCCAGGTAAAATAGTCAGAAGATGGGGTCTAATCTTGGCCTGCCAGCACTTTGTTAGCCAATTCACTTCCCTCATCCTCAGTTTGCTTTTATGTAAAATGAGAGGGTTGTATGCTTACTTTTCTCTGGGATGTCAGACAAGTTATTTGGCCTCCTTGGGCCTTAATCTTCTCATCTGTAAAATGAAGGGGTTAGACTTCCCTTCCAGCCCTGGTCTATGATTTCTAAAATCTCAATCCTGTGATAGCCTATGACCTTGGAAGCCCTGGAGCATCCACCTTTGTGCGCTTGGCTTAAGGTTTCTTTCTCTTGGGTTGGGCACAGGGAGCCTCATCCACACTGCCATCTGATAACCATTGTCACTTACTAGAATTTGGAAGGGGAAACCAGGAACATAGGGGAAGAGTGGGGCAAATTAGACGGAGAAAGAGAAGATGCAGAGTATAGGGGCAGAAACGGATAGAATTCTGGCGATGGATAAAATATGGCTGCTTGTCAGAGACCCTGGGACTAGCCTGCCTGATTGGTACAGTGGCCCTGTTATGATCTGTGTCCAAAGTGTTGACCCACAAAACATCACAGCTAATTTCCATATTGATTTGCCTAGAGGCCTTGTAACAAGCCCTATCTATAATCAGAGCAGATTCAGTTGTGAGAGTATGGGGATAGTGGCAAGGAGAAGAGCCCAGTAGAGGGGGCAGTTCTGTCCCCAGACAGTCTGGTCCTCTCCTTTATTGAGATTGGGAAGTGGGGGAAGTCTCTGAAAGAAGGATTAGCTCCCCTGGATGTCAGTACTCTGGGACAAAACCATGTTCAGTCTGTGCTAGTTACAGCTCCGGATTTATCTTACATTTTGTGGGTAATTTATTTAATGTCAAAGTGTCTGAAAATTGGGCAAGGTGAGATGATAGGTTTGTGTTCCCTCCTGACTCCCTGAAGGTGGGAGGAAAAGGAAGGATTTCTTTGATTCATACAGTTATGATTTGGAAGACACCCTGGGAGAATGAGGGGGTGAGAAGGGAGGAAGCTGGTTTGTGGGGAGAAGAATTGATATGTCTCAGCAGGAGGTGTCAAACTGCAATTTGGGGGATGAGGAGGAGTGACAAGTGTAAAAGCCTCAGCCAACGGTTGAGGGAGGGGTCCCTGCTCTGGAAGATACCCTGAGGAGAGGCATAGAGTATGGCTCTCTGAGGGAGAAATGCAGGCTGGTGCTGACCCATTGAGGAAGTGGTGGTAGGTACAAGGACCAGAGACTGTCCCAACAAATCCATCCCTTCTCCCCCCCAGAAAGGCTATAGGGACATGGGATATAAACACACATGTGCAGTAGGCAATACAGTCCGGAGCTATTCACACACAAATTTTGGCATTAAAAAGCAGCAGAATGCAACTCAAGTCAACAAACCCTTATGAACTGTCTACTGTGTACAAAGTGCTGTGCTAGGGGGATCAATCAATCAATAAGCATCGATGATTCCCATTGGTGGTTGGTTGGTGGTTGTCCGTTCCTGAAGAGGACCAAAGTGACGTCACTGTATTGAAGTCAAGTTAGCGTGTCCAACTGTGGCTGCTCAGGCCAATGCGAGCTTGGAGGGCTCTGCCACATATAATCCATATGAACAAATAGTCTGTATGCACTGTGCTAGGTGCCCAGGACACAGATGGTACAAGAGCATACATTCTTTTTTTTTTTTTTTTTTGCAACTGGGGTTAAGTGACTTGCCCAGGGTCACATAGCTAGTAAGTGTTATGTGTCTGAGGCCAGATTTGAACTCCTGGTCCTCCTGAATCCCAGGCCAGTGCTCTATCCACTGTGCCACCTAGCTGTCCTAAGAGCATACGTTCTATAGGGGAA